GTAGTTGTGTATAGGTAAGGTCATGGTATAGGGATAGAAATGTGTTTTCAAGAATTCGTCTTCAGTCCTGTCCTGGTAAATCTCTCTTCATGAGTCAGAAACTTGGATGCTGTGATGTTTGATCTTGATGGGATTCACACTCACTGAGGAGACACACTTGGGGGGTTTCTATCAGAGTTTCCAGAAAGAATTAATTGAGGGAGGAAGACCACCTATCAAGTAGGTGACTCCTTCCAAATGGTGGCCCTGATATAAAGACATCCAAGGCAAATGCAGTGACACCTGTGCTGGCTTTTTCATCCTGAGTGTGTCTGCTGCCTCGGTCCTCAGCTGACATCAGACTCCAGCTTCCACAGCCCTCCAATGTGGACTGCATGAATACCAAGGGTCCAGGGAACTTCCAAGTATTCCAGGGATGAGGCACCCAGATCTGTGGACTGAGCAGCTACTGGGTTCTCAGCCTCCCCAACATGCAGATAGAGACTATTGGACTGTCCAGCCTCTACTGTATAAGTCAGTCTAATAAACCCTTGTATTTATTTTCTATTGTTTCAGTTCCTTCCCATCACCCTAATACCGATGCCATCCTTGAAAACATGCACTCCCTCCTACCACTCAATCAGATGCCAAGACCTGCAAACTTTATTTCCTGAAGAATTCTTCACCCATCTCCCCACTGCCTCCCACTATGGCCGCTGCTTTCTGTCTCAAGTCTTCTCACCTCTCTGGCTGGGACAATCACCTCTTAACTTCCTCTTCACCACCCTTTTTCCATTTCCAATCATGTTAAGAGCAAATTTCTACTAGATGTGGTAGCTCACAGATGTCATCCCAGAACTGGGGAGGCTGAAGCAGAAGTATGGCTGTGAGTTCAAATTCAGCCTGGGCTATATAGTGAGTGCCAGGTCACTTTGGAGCCACAGAATGAGATCTTATCACAAGTAAACACAAAACCAACCAACCAACCAAACAAACAAACAAACAAACAAGCAAACAAAAGGAGTATCCTAATTTCCAGAAGATGAACCTGTGTAGCCCAACAAGCAAGATCCTCTTGATCACTTCCAACCCACCTTTCTACTGGGTATCCCAAGGCCTCTGGCCTTCCTCTTCTGACTGCTCTTCTGTTTAATCATAGCTCTTTAAAATTTTTTTGTTTATTTTATTTATTTTTTTGGTCTTTTTGAGACAGGGTCTCCCTGTAGCCCCAGCTGACCTAGAACTCGCTGTGTAGACCAGGCTGGCCTTGAACTCACAGAGATCCTGCCTCTGTCTCCCAAGTGTTGGGACTAAAGGCGTATGCCACCACACCCAGCTTTTATTTATTATTTTTATTTTATGTGTATGCATGTATTGCCTGCATGTATATAAGTGCACCCATGTCGTGTAATGTTGGAGGACAGAAGAGGCTGTTGGATCCCCTGGAACTAGAGTTACGAACAGTTGTTAGTTGCCATGTGGGTGCTGGGATTTGAACCTGGGTCTTCTGCAAGAACAACCAGTGTTCTTAACCGCTGAGAAATCTCTCCAGCCCCTAAACCATAGATCTTTTTAAAAAATATTTTATTTATTATTTTTATTTTATGCGTATGAGTGTATTGCTTGCATGTGTGTAAGTGCACCCATGTCGTGCAATGCCCACAGAGATCAGAAGATAGTGTCAGATTCCCTGGAACTGGAGCTAAAGATGGTTGTTAACCACCATGTGGGTGTTGGGAATTGAATCCGGGTCCTCTGCAAAAGCAGTTAGTGCTCTTAACCACTGAGCCATCTCTCCAGCCCCTAAACCATAGCTCTTTAAAAACTTTTTAAAATTTCTTTTTTGAGACAGTCTCACTAGGAAGAACAGGGTGACCTCAAACTCATAATTCTCCTGTGCCAATCTGTCCAGTTCTGGGATTACAAGCCTATGCTACCATGCTCAGCACCTCTCCTGTCTGTGCCTCTGTTTATACTGCCCCTCTGGCAGGAGTACCATCCTTTACCATTTACAACATAAGCCTTTAGCACTCAGCTTCCCCCAAAATCACCTCCCTCCAGAGGCCTTTTGTGTCCTCCCTCCCAGGACTCAATGCACCCATTCAGCCAGATTAGCCCTTCTATGGTCTTCTGTAACATCCCACACACCTCCCTGGTGTTGCAGGGAGCACTCTGTCCCATGACTGTTTATCTGGTTCTTTCCAAAAACACCTCCTGGTTGACAGGGTCTCAGAGTTGCATCCACCAGCCCTGAGCAGGATCCAACCTTCTTTCTATTAAATGAACAGTGCCCTTCCTCTGCTTCTGTTTGCCCTTAGGGTAATGAAAGTTCCTTTAGACAGGGTTTTCCTAAGTAGCTCAGGTTGGTCTGGAACTCACAATATAGCCCAGGCTGGCCTTGAATTTTTGACCCTCCTCCCTCTTCCTCCTTAGTCCTGGAATTACAGGTATGTGACACCATGTCCAACTCATGAAGAAAACTCTTTTTTTAAATATTTATTTTTATTTTTTAAAAATTGTATGTGTGGGGCTGGAGAGATGGCTCAGCGGTTAAGAGCACTGGCTGCTCTTACAGAGGACTTGAGTTCAATTCCCAGAACCCACATGGTAGCTAACTACAGTCTGTAACTCTAGTTCCAGGGCATCCCACACCCTCTTCTGACCTCCTTGGACATTGCACAACATGGATGTACTTACAAACATGCAGACAATGCACTCATACACAAAAATTAAAATAATAGATTAAAAAAATTTGTTTTAACTGTATGTGTGTTTCCAGGTATGGTGGCACACACCTTTAATTCCAGCACTTGAGAGCGAGAGGAAGGCTGATCTCTATGAAATCAAGGCCAACTTGGTCTACATAGAAGAGTTCCAGGCCAATTGGGGTTACAGGGAGACCCTGTCTTAAAACAAAAACAAAAACAAAAAGCAAAACAAAACAAAATAAATGTGTGTTTGCACATATGTGCATGCACACACATGTAAATGCACACACATGTAAATGCAGGTTCTCATGGGGACCAGAGGTATCAGATCCCATGGAACCAGGCAGTCGTGAGTCGCCTGACAACTGGGAACTAAACTTGGGTCCTCTGCAAGAGCAGTACACTGAGCCACCTCTCCAGCTCTTCATGAAGGAAATTTTTTATTGTTATTTGTTTTTTGTTTGTTTGTTTGAGACAGGGTCTTCTGGTTGCCCCAGATGGCCTGGAACTCACTATGTAGACTAGGCTGGCCTCAATCTCACAGAGCTTTGCCTGCCTTTGCTTCCCAAGTGCTGGTATTAAAGATAAGTGTCACCACATCTGGCTGAAAAAAATTAACTGAGGTCACAGGGTTCTTCAGGACTTTACCTGGGGAGCTAGAGAGGTGGCTCAGATGTTAAGAGCATTGGCTACTCTTGTAAAGGACCTAGGTTCAGTTCCCAGCATCCACATGGCAGCTAACAACCATCTGTAACTCCAGTACCAGGGGATCTGATGTCCTCTTCTGACCTCCATGGTGTATTGCACACACATGGTACACTTACATACATGCAGGCAAAACGCTCATACACATAAAATAAGTGATGTTCACCTTGACCTTGTTCATTGCCTTAAAGGTTTATCTGCTTCTACGCTGCCTTTGACTGTCTGGGATTGTGGCTTGTATTGACTTCATTATAAATTGTTTCATGTTCTCTCCACCACATTTCATGAAGATAAGAACCATGCTGATCCTGCTCAGGCTTCCAGCTTTGCTGCCCAGCCCATAACAGACGGTTGGTAATATTAAATAAACCATGTAATCTTTTGTTTTGTTTTTATTTTTTGAGACAAGGTCTTCCTGTAGCCCTAACTGCCTGAACCCATTATGTAGACCAGGCTGGCCTCGATCTCACAGAGATTCACCTGCCTCTGCCTCCCCAGCGCTGGGACTGAAGGCATGTTCTATCATGCTGGGCTAAGCCATGTAATCATGACCCTACAAACTTTATTTATTTATTTATTTATTTACTTACTTATTTAATGTATGTATTTATTTATTGCCATCAGGTCACCTGGGGTGATCTAGTTATTTATTTATTATTTTATTTATTTTGTCTTTTTGAGACAGGGTCTCCCTGTAGTCCCAGCTGACCTGAACTCACTATGTAGACCAGGCTGGCCTTGAACTCACAGCGATCTGCCTGCCTCTGCCTCCCTAGTGCTGGGACTAAAGGCATGCGCCACCATGCTCAGCTCTATTTATTTAGATTTGAGACAGGGTCTCCTATAGCCCAGGCTGGCCTCAAGCTCCCTATGTAGTAAGCATGGTTTTGAACTTCTGACCCTCCTTCCTCAGCCTCCTAGTTGCTGGGATTTTAGCAAGGACTACCAGGCCCAGTTTGTGTGGTGTTGGGGACAGAACCCAGAGCCTCCTGCATGCTAGGCAAGCACTACCAACAGAGCTACCTCCCACACTCAGTGATTTAAATGATTAGGAAGGGGCTGGAGAAATGCCTCAGAAGTTAAGAGCACTGGCTGCTCTTGCAGAGGACCTGGGTTTGGTTCCTAGCACCGGCATGGAGGCTAACAACTGTTTGTAACTTCAGTTCCAGGGGATTCGACGCCCTCTTCTGGCCTCCATGGGCATTGCATGCATTGGGTGCAATTACATACATGCAGGCAAAACACTCATACATATAAAAATAAAATAAATAAATAAAAATTTAAATGACTAGGAAAAAGATAGCAGGATAGGACATGAGGTAGGGGAGCCCTAGTCCCAGTCCCCATCTCAAACTGTGCTGATGTGTAAATGCTTTTTCCCTAGGAAGAGAGGAGAAGGAAAGATGAAGGGGATCTGAGAGGGATGAATGTTTTTAGGACTGCTCTCTGGGACCTCAGGGCATTTCAGGCTCTTCCTGCCCTGTCACCTGTGAAACTGGAAAACTCTCTTCAGGGTGTTTCCAAGTGGGGGTCAGCCACAGGCCAGCAGGTAGAGGAGATGGAGAAAAGAATAAAAAGTAGGATTGAGAATAGACTCACTGTGTCTTTTCAGCATCTTTACTTATTTCATGTCTAAGAGGAGATAAACATTCACTGATATCCCCGGCTTCCCAGGACATGGACCTGAATGAGGAGGGACAGACAGAGGGTGGGGCTCCCTGGGCCATCAGCTTGTCACGCAGGCACCCTTCTCCTTGAAGGGATTCTTGTCTTCTGGGATGCCTTTGAGAAGAGGGTCAGTCCCTGCTTGGGCCTCCACATAATCCTTGATTTCCTTTCCAGTCTTGGAAATCTGTGAGATGACAAAATATGGTCATAGCCCCGTTTATTTCTCAGGTTCTGTGACTTGGCCAGTCTTAGGAAAATGTGATTCTGGAGGGTAAGGGTGGAAGTCAAAGAGGAAGAAGGTGATGGGCAAAGGGAAGAAGGACAAGCAGGCTGGAGGGTAAGTTCCTTGACCTGACCCTCAAACATGAAATGCTTGACCAGCCCAGCCTGGAGACAAGCCTGGACACACTGGGCTCCCCACAGTTCTGAGTCTCTCCCCTGTGCCTAGGAAAGTGGAGGAGACCCCAACATGCTTCTATATCCCACCCCAGGCAAGAGGCACCTCTGTGCCCACCATCTTCTCTCCATCCTGAGCAAGAAGAGATGAGGAAGAACAGAGGAGGGAGGGGCAAGAGGCTCACCAGATCACGAGGGTTCATCACTTCCTTCTTCAGCTGCTCCACCTCCATCCTCAGTAGTTCCTTCTCACTGAGATCCTGGGCCATCCTGTCCTGGAGGAAGACCTGGACCCTGCAAGTATCAAGCGGCCATCAACAGTTCCTGCTCCCTCCATGCCTCCATTCCTACCCTCTTTCCTGCCTCATCCCCCAGTTCAGGCTCCTCATCTTCACTTAATCCCTCCATTCTGTTTCCTATCACGAACATGGGCTTAGGAAAGGAAGCTCCCAATAGGATGGGGGAGGTGCAATCTTTGCTCTGTGCTAAGAATCTCTCTAAGAAGAAAGTAGAAAAGGAAAGGGAAATGAAGTCAGTGAGGACAATACTGGACGAAAAGTTATTGCTCCAATTAATCGCTCAGGTAGATGTTTTGTTTAGTGTCCCAGGTACTGACAGGGGACAGTATGCCTAGTGTAAAGACCAGGGGTTCTGGGGGGCAGCCAGACTCCAGATCTGACCCCAGGTCTGCAGCTTCATCTCTGGGTGTCTTTAGCCAAGTCATTCAACCTCCTTGAGTCATAGTTTCCCCATCAACAAAATGGGTATAATAATAGTAGCATTTATTAGTGTTTTTTGAGACAGGGTTTCATGTAGCCCAGGCTGGCCTCAAACTCTCTACACAGTTGAGGATGACTTTGAACTTCTGATCCTCCTGCCTCCACCTTTAAGTGCTGGGACTATAAGCATGTGCCATCATGCTTAATTTACTGGAAATGGAACCCAGGGTTTCACGCATGCTAGGCAAACACTCTACCAACTGAGGTACATCCACAACCCCATAGGAGTGATTATCTTCATTCTCACAATTATTGTGAGAACTAAAAAATAATGCATGTGGAATATTGTCATATACTATCTGGCACATAATAAACAGGTTACACTTCTTATTATTTCTGATAATAATACGGTTACCATCATCCCTGCAGGGTCACCAGGAAGGTCAGCCTGGTGCCTGATTTCAATAATCCTAAGACTAGAACCCAGCCCAGTGGTCCGCAGCCTCCTCACCTGCCAGCACACTCTCCAAGTCACCGCTCCAGGACCCAAACAAAATAATGCTTGAGCTTCCTAGCTCTTCCTCAGCCGAAAATCTTCAGATCAAGCGGATGGTCTGGAAAGCCAAATCTCTGATGGCTAAGCTGATCATGAGCTCAGGGTTTTAAGTCCAGCTCCCAGCGAGCCTCCCAGCCCTTACTACTCCAAAGCAGACATTCATGTTCCATCCACAAGTAGAAAACAGGCCTCATTCAGTGTGGGTGGGCCCCTGGCCCCTGCATCAGCCTCACTCCTTTAATGATGACCTGCCCGCCCCCAAACATATCCTCCAAGCCCGCACTCCTCTTTTCTGTCTTCCCCTCTCCTGTCTTTCCTCACTACTCCAGGTTGCCTCCACCCCCACCTGGAGACAAGTCCCAGACCACCTCCCAGCTTTCCCTATCTGGAAACCTTTATGCTTTTCATTGGAGGTTTCCACAGTTTTATCCTATGGGGGTCTCCTGGCTCATCCTCTAATTCACCTTTACTTCCAATGCTCACCAGTTTGTGCCCAGGGGCTGTGGCCAGCCTAATGCCTGTGTCCTTGTTTCTTGGCCTCCATGACTCCTTCAGAGCATGGAGTGTGGGACTTCTTTACCTGTAGTCCCCAGCACACACCTGTAACCTGCTTTCCCTTCATCTCTTAAAGGAACACTTGCTGATTGTGTCATTTAGCAGAGCTGAGCTCCTGCACTGGCTGACGTTTGTCCCATAGTAAGGGAAATCTTGAGGAAATCATAAGGCACCAATGTGGCCAGTGAGGGTTCCTCTGACTTGGCAGCTAAAATGACAGACTACATGGTAGAAGGGGCTGGAAGAAGCCCACAGATCATCCCCTGTCCTGGGACCAAGTCCCCCTGGGGCTTGGGAGCTCCAAAATTTCAAGTTTGGGATTGGAGTCCTGAGGGTGCCAAGTTCAACTCCCCAGTAATACATGGACCAAAGTCCCATGCCTTCTGAGTCTGTCTCAGGGCTCTGTCCACCAAGGCTACCTAAAACCCACACATCAACCTGGAATTTGAACCTGGCATTATCTCAAATCCAAGGCCTTCCTGTTGCTCAACTGAATCTCTCACACTACAAATTTGGTCAATTTCATCTTGTCCTACCTCCCATCAGGCATAAAACATGTGTCACAGGTCTTCATCCTGCCTGACCCTTCATAGGCTTGTCCACAGTTCTCCAGGAATTTTAGCAGTGCCTTCCTGGTGTCTAACCCTGATTCCTCTTGTTGTTAAATGGTCTGTTTTCCACTGTTGTAGCACTGCCAGCCCCATTCTCCCCAGTATGACTGATCTCCATATCCTATCCACCTTCCACTCCCTCATCCCTTGGTGACTCATCCCTGAGCTTCCCAAGGAAGCCCCCACCCTCTGCCCTTTCCTCCCCTCTTCCATGAGTGGAAAATCCACCCCCCACCCCACAGCAGGCCAACCCCTTCCTCCTGTCTCCTACCCCATCCCCCCACCAACCAGCTTCCTCTCCAGGACAGGGGAGCAATCACAGTTGCCCCGACCTTGGCTTCCTCTGCCGGGTGGGATTGAGAGGCTGGGACGGCAAACAGGCCCCTGGCTTCCCTCTTCCCCTGAGCAGGGGACAGAGAGGCACAGGCCAGGCACGCAGGGTCTGACTTCCTCTAGTCCGGGAATGAGCATGCCTGCCCTTTGCAGGCAGGTTTGGGTCTCTCACACAGAGGAAACCAAAAGCTGTGAAGAGGGAGGGAAGGCAGAGCGACGACCAATCAGGGGCAGGGTGAGGCTCAAAACCAGCAGGCTCCCCGGGGAGCCCCTGGGAGGCCAGGACCATGGCGGAGCTGCAGCAGCTGCAAGAGTTTGAAATCCCCACGGGCAGGGAGGCTCTGCGGGGCAACCACAGCGCCCTGCTGAGGGTGGCCGACTACTGCGAGAACAACTATGTGCAGGTAGGCCGGAAGGGCTCGGGCAGAGACACCCTGCAGCCCAAGAACCATAGGCAGGTGCCTGATCTTGCCTCAGTAGTCCTTAGGCGTCAGCCTCATTTCGGGTTCTAAATGCCGCCCTGATCCCACGTTCTCCAGGAGCCACAGGGTCTTATCTCGCTACCAGACTCAGAGGTGAGGGACAGACAGGCAGCTGTACATCCTGTCCACCCTGGAGTCCCTGCTCCGGAGACCTACAGACCCTTTTCTTACACAGGTGCTGGTACATCATTCCATCTTCAGGCTGGCTCCAGGGATGCCCTTGAAAGAATTTCCCACACACTGTAGTGAGAAAGGAGTTTGTTCCTTGGCGTTTGAGACCACAGAGGAGTCAGATCAGGCCGTGCTAAACAGAAAGGGTCTGATGCAGAGGCAAGAGACTTCCAACATGGTGGCTGGGAGCAAGCTGCCAAATGATGATCTGGGAGGCATTGTAGAGCAGCTTTAAACGTTTATTTATTTTGGACTTTTGAGACAGAGTCTTTACTGTGTGGCCCAGGCTGTTCTTGAGCCCACGATAGCTCTGGCTGCCCTCAAATACTTCTGCCTCAGTATCCCCAGTGCTGGGATTACAGGCAAACACTACCATACTTGGCTATTGATTTTGTTTTGTTGTGTCAATTCCTGAGACATTGTGAATGGAACCCAGGACCTCGAGCATGTCAGGCATGAGCAGGGCCAGTGCTCTACTGCTAAGCTCTACTCCACCCTGGAACAACTTTGGTCATCATGTGGTTGTCCCAGAACATTGATTCCTGGATGGTGGAAAGAGCTGGCAGAGGCTTCGCCTATTCCTTTGTTAATCCTCACAGTGACTTTGTGAGAGGAGCACTATAGTTCCTAGTTTATAATGTAAAAACAAACACTCAGGGAGGGGAGAAGACTTGTCTAGGGTCACCCAGCTCTGGAATAGCAGAGCCAAGCATCAGCCTCCGCCTCTCTGGCTTCTCGCCTGGGTTTCTTCCTCTCCATCCTTCTGCCTCCCTGACATGCTATAAGTTGGTACAGTTTATCTGCACTCTTTGTCCTCGGTTTCCTCTGCTCCCTTGAGAGTGACAGGCTAAATCTGCTATGTTTTGCCCCAAGCTTCATTTTTCTAACTAGTTCTCATCAAATTGTGAGACAACTGGAGGCGGGGGACACAAAAGCTTATGAGAAATGGCAGCTCGAAGAGAGGCATTGATAACAAGGTGTTTTGCACCCTCGGTGGTGCCTCTTTCTGTCCCTATCCCAGTCCTGTGAGTACTTACACTTCACAGTGAGGAAGCTGAGGTTTGGAAAGGGTTAAACTGCTTTCCCAGAAGTCTCCATGTTAGTCACTGAGACAGGATTCAAACCCAGAATTCCTGCTATGTGTGCTGACCCATACCTGGAAGTTCAGCATTTGGGAGGCTAAGTCAGGAGGACCTCTGAATGTTCAAGTCTTGCCTGGTTTATATAGTGAGTTCCAAGCTAGTCAGGGCTACATAGCAAGACCCTCTCCAAAAGACAGAAAAGCAGCCAGAATTCTGAGTTCAGAGCCCACTCCTTAACCCCAGAGCAACAGTGCTACCATGAGTATCAGTTTGTGGTTCTTGATGGTGAGTGCTGAGCCTGTAGACAGAGGAACTGTCATGTGGTTTGCAAAGCAGCTCTGTTCGCCCAGCACTCAGGCATACTGCCCTGGACAGGGCTAAAAGCGACCCTTTCCATTCAAGAACTTCCATATCTCAGAGCTCTCAAGGCATTTCCAGCGGGTCCTTTCTCATTTGCACAGTCAGTAGGCACAGGATCTGAAGTTATGAACCTGAGATCCCAGCTCTGCCACCTCTAACATACAGAACCTGGGGCAAGTTTCCCCTCGGGATTTTCTTTTTTCATCAGGGTCACTCTGTAGCTCAGGCTGGACTTGACTACATGATCTTCCTGCTTCAGCCTCCAGAGTGCTGAGATTGCAGGCTTGCGCCATCAAGCAGATGGGGAGGAGAGGGGGAGGGGAAGGAAATGGGGGGGACTTAGGGTCTCAGGTTCCTTTCAGATTCTGTATCTTCTCCAAGGTGGTTTCAGATGTTAAATGGATCACTATTAAAGTCTTTGCCCAGTGCCTGCCCTGAAGAAGGTGGGGATAAATGGTAGTTGCTATCATTACCATTACTATTTCAGAAAGATGAAAGGTACATGCAGATGATGAAACTCCATTCTGGCCTGGTGACAGCCCTTGCAAACACACTCAGGGCACCAGAAGCCCAGACCCATTTCAGAATTTCTGGGCTCTTGCTTCCTTCGTGCAGTGTACTAACTACTGAACTATACAACCAGGAACTGTCCCCACCTGTCCTGGGAGGAAAGCTTCCAATATCTTCTCAGAACTGCTCTTAAGGCCCTCTTCCCCACCTAAGCAGGAAGCCTGTGGGGAATAGCAGGAGACAGGTGGGTCAAGTGTAGGGTGTTTAGCCAGGGTTGACTAAATGTACTGACAGGGTCATTTGCATGATGTGCAGTCACCTTAGATGAAGAATCCCAGACTCTTGTTCCTCAACACCCAACTTTGGGCCAAGACCAAAGCCAGAGGTCAGAAACGCCCTGAATAGAGGCACCCAGAGCTGGGCCTAGGAGACACTTTGCCTGTTTGGGTTGGCAAGTCCATGTGCCATGTCTAAGGAGGGGACTGTCCAGAAGAGTGGCCTGTTTTCTTACTTATTAAATTAGAACAAAATCTGCAGTCCTTTATGGTTTCTTTGCCTATTCAAGGCATAAGTTGATGAGATGTAAATTTTGTTACATATGCAGATGACATGTAAATAGGCATACAAATGCGCATCACTTTCCTGCTGTTGGAACAGAAAAGCAGGAAGAGGGAGGATCATGGCATGCGTTTACCAGAAGGTTCTAGGTCTCTCTCAGGATGTAGCTCTGATAGTTCCAGTGACAGGTCCTAAGAGGTACCCCAGGTCCCAAGCAAGGAGACTGTAAGGTGCACCCTTGTCTGTTAGCGCACTGTCCCGCTCCTGATTTTTGCTGGGCTCACCTCTGCTCTCTCCCACCCACCCTAGAAAAGGACAGTCTAAAGTGCAGCAAGTTCATGATTGATGGGAAAGGAGGAAGTCGCTTGGGGAAGCAGACTTGAGCAGTTTTGCCTGGCCCTTGAAGACTGGTCTGGGACCCACGAAAGTCCTCTTTTGTCTTTAGCCACTCCCTGCCCACCCTTCCTTCAGTGCCTGGCAGTGTGGCACTAGGCAGTGTCTGGCATGCAGTAGGAAGCTATCCCACTATTGTTAGGTTCCTCTTCAATCTGTTAGACAACACAAATGCCTATTTATTAAATATCTTCTGTGTGTTGGGCACTTTGGCAGTATAGGTTACAGAATAGAGCAGAAGAGCTCTCTCCTTTCATGGTAGTTACACATCAGAGGTGGAGGATGTAAAGAAATAGTGTTTTGTGGAAAAGCCACAGAGAACAAGAGAAGAGGGCAAATAGGATAGTGAGTCAATAGAGAGAAGGGTAGATTGGGGAAGAGCTAGAAGTTGGAAACAACTAACAAAAAGGATTCTAAGTACAGCAAATGCAAACGTAGAAACAATCCAGCTTGTCTGAGAGCAAAACTCCAGTGGCCAATGTGAGAGGGGGAATGCAGAAGGGGAAAGTGAAGGGAAAGGCAGGAGCTGTGTATGGTGGCACTCCGATAATCTCAGCTTTGGGAGGTGGAGGAAGAGGCAGAGATTAGGAGTTTAAGGCCAGTCTTGGTTACGTAGGGAGTTCGAGGCTAGCCTCAAATCCAAGACCCTGTCTTCTCAAAACAACTATTTCCAAAGGAAAGAAAAGCAAAGAAACATTAGAAAGCAGTTAGAGGGAATGAGTAAATAAAGTCACTCCATTCTGGGCCACAGTTTCCATCTTTGAGTTCCCAAACACCAACCTGTAGACTGGGGCTAAGGAAGAATAAGGTCACTTGGGGAGCTGTTAGGCTCCTGGCCTTATTCCTAGGGGACTCTGGTTTGCATGTCTGGGGTAAGGGCCTGACATTAGTTGGCTAGCTTTTAAATTTAGGCATGTCTCCTCCTGTCAGTATTACCTTCCTCTTTCCTTTCTACTCTTCACCACCCAGCCCCCAAAGAGATACTTGCCAAAGTCCTCAGGAAGGCAGTAGGGTCCCCTCAACTCAGTCCTCTCAGCTGGACTATTGAGGAAGGGTATCCTCCCCCTCCCCAGAGCCAGTCTCTCTAGCTACAGACCTGCTTTCTTTTTTTAATTTTATTATTTTTATTTTATGTGTATGAGTGTATTGCCTGCATGTATGTGAGTGCACCCATGTTGTGCAATGCCATGGAGGTTAGAAGACGGCTTTGGATTCCCCTGGAAGTGGAGTTAAGGACAGTTCATAGCTGCCATGTGGGTGCTGGGAATCGAATCCCGGTCCTCTGCAAGAGCAGTCAGTGTTCTTAGCTGCTGACCCATCTCTCCAGCCCCCAGACCTGCTTTCTTAATGTCCTCTGAGTCTCTCCTCCCATATCATTCTTCTGGAAGCTACCTCAAACATCTAAGGGCGACCGCTTTCTCCCAATTCAGCTCCCACCTTCTTTATATTCTCTTCCGTTCCACCCCACCCTACCAAGGACCCAGTGGAATGTACTGGCCTCAGGCCAAGGCTATGTGTATTTCAGGCCACAGACAAGCGGAAGGCACTAGAGGAGACCATGGCCTTCACCACTCAGGCCCTAGCCAGTGTGGCTTACCAAGTGGGCAACTTGGCCGGGCACACTCTTCGAATGCTGGACCTCCAGGGGGCTACCCTGCGGCAGGTGGAAGCCCGGGTCAGCACATTGGGCCAGGTAAGGGTGTTGGCCTCAGCTCTTCAGTCCTGTTCAAACCTTCTCTACAGCAAAGTCCTTTCTTGCCTTTCTTCATGTTCACAGGGCCAACCCGACTACACTTCCTGAGCTTTTCAAACTGTCTTCTACCTGTGGCTATGTCTCAGTGGGGTGTCTTGCTGCCCCATCAGGCTCATAAGTGCCCAGAAAGTGAATCCTTTTTTTCTCTGAATGCTACCCTGGGCTTCTGAAAGCTGTGTCTGCCAATCATGGCACCTGTACCATGCAAGAGAGATGAAAAGCATCCTGTTTGCACTAAAATATAAGCAGTGATTTAATAAATGTCCTCCACCCAGGGTACTTGTTAGGCAAGGCCATCTTCGACCCCAGAATCCCTACCACCATCATTCAGAGCCCCCACCCTTGGAGCATACACACCCTCAGCCTTCCTTCCTGGATCCTTGACCTACGGATTACCCCATAAAGCACGCGAATGAGCCAGTTACACACACAGCCAGACCATGCACTCACATGAGGTCAGTGTACGGGGTGTGTCTTCCTCTTACCCCTGCTCCCACCCTAGAGCCAGAGGTAACATTCAAAAGGAAGCTAATTCACATATTTGTCCACCAAAGGGGAGAGCTAGTTACAAATCTCTGTCACCTCTGTTATGCCCCCTTGTTCCAGAGTCTGCCTTCTCCTTCAGCCCCTTCCCAGCATCCCCAGGGATGTAACGTTTTCCCTTTTCCTCTGGTTCCTGATCAGCTAATAATAACCCTCATTCTCTTCCACCAGAAAATTGCTCCAAAGTGGCTTCATCCTCTCCCGCTATTCTTTTCCCAGTTGGGGACAAAACTTGCTCTCTTCTCTGGACTTCCTTGCCTTCCATGGTTCCTCACAGCTCTGCATTCTCTTTCTCTTAAAGGGAAGGGTTGTTGGACAGAGTGTCCTTCACTGTCACCTCCAACCCTGTCATGCAGATGGTGAACATGCATATGGAAAAGGTGGCCCGGAGGGAGATCGGCACCTTAGCCACTGTCCAGCGGCTGCCCCCTGGCCAGAAGGTCATCCCTCCTGAGAGCCTACCTCCCCTCACTCCCTACTATAGGAAGCCCCTCAACTTTGGCTGCTTGGATGACATTGGTCATGGAATCAAGGTAAGAGGAGCCTTGTTCTCCCTCTCAACTCACCCCCTCCACCCCACCCCACCCCTGCCTTGTGGCTTCGGCCCCAGTTTTCCATCAGTGTTCTTACCTTACCTTGCGACCCCCTCTCCCACTTCCTGAAGCCATCACCTAAGCTCCTCCCCATCCCAAAGTCCATAACTAGATTCTACCCTATTCTCAGATGTTCTGCTTCAGTAGATCCTGGGCTCTCTCAGCCCCCCTACCCACCGGTACTGGGTGTATGTGTGTGTGAAGGGCAAGAGGGGGAAGGGAGGATGTCAGGGTGTGCATGAGAACCACTCCCCAGCCACATGAGAACAGCAACTTCCTCTGTCTGGGGGTTTGAGGTCACTACACCGAGCAGTCCCCCAGAGCTGCTGGTGGCAGGAAAGGGCAGAAGGCAGCTGCTCCAAGCAGACTTGGTGGAGAGGACACTCACACACCCACATCTCATTTTGTCAGTTCCATTTTATCACCATTCTACTATACCCCAGATATTAATGGTATTAATATGGCCACCCTCCAAAAGGAAAAAACCTTTCTTTCATTTACCAGGCCCCTGCACCAATAAGTTCTTCTTGCTGTCCATCTTTCTTTTTCAAAATTTCCTTTTGATGGTGCTGTGAATGAAACCCAGGCCTCGACATGCAAGCTCCACTGGTGAGCTACATGCCCAGCCCTCAACTCATTTTTTATGCTTCGGTTCAACTCCCCTTTGTCTTGTGTCTACTGAGGTAGGGTGAACATGGTCCCCAGGTGGCCATCCTGGGGGAAGTCCCACCAGTTACATAGGCGTCTCCTGCACTCTGGGATGTACCCTGTCATTTGGACACTCCTCTCTATTCTGGGTCCTGCTGCTCTCTGCCTTGAACTTGGGGAGGTCAGTTCCTCAGGTCTATGAAAGCAAGTGGGACAGTTCTGAGTGTGATGTGTCTCCTCTCTCAACCCCCTCCTCAGCTCATGCTGGAGTTGAGATCTAATCAAAGTTAAAGATCACCAAGCCACCCAGATACCTGGGTGACTGAGATGGTGTAGGGGGTGGGGTACAGAGAGGCCCACTCAGGTACCATGACTGTGCAGAGGAAATGGCCCCCAGATGTACTGTACTGCGAGTTCCTTTTGGTGGGGTGGCTCTGTGGGGCCTGCTACAGTCTGAGGCCCTGTGGCCCAGGCAGTGACACCCACATGTGAGGTGGGGGTGGGGCAGGAGGAGGGCTGGGAAGTGGAACTTGCTGAGCCCGCTCTCAGCCTCCCAGTTCTCCTCTTTCCCTCCCCCATTTCTTTCTGAGATGAGAACTGTTCCCTACCCCGGACGTCAGCCCCACCTCCTCTTTCCAGGACCTGAGCACGCAGCTGTCCCGGACTGGAACCCTGTCTCGCAAGAGCATCAAGGCGCCAGCCACTCCTGCCTCTGCCACTTTGGGGTGAGGCCGCCGCGGGTCCATCCCAACCTTCCCACCCCTTGCAGCAGCTGGCGCCTTGAGGCTCTGGTGCCCAGCTTCTCCCTCCTCCAGAACCCTGCCCACCACAGGTTCCCCATCCTCATGCCTCCCCACTCCACCCCCAGGAGACCCCCTCGGATCCCCGAGCCTGTGCAGCTCCCGGTGGTGCCCGACGGCAAGCTCTCCGCCGCTTCCTCGGCCTCTTCCTTGGCCTCCGTGGGGTGAGCGCTCAAGTCCAAGTGGGTGGGTGGATCTTGGGAGGTGGATTTTGAGAAGGGTGTCAGTCACCGTGGCCACTGGGATTGGGAAAACCGAGACCATCGAATGGGGGAAATTGAGGCAAGAATTCGGATTGGAGGGTTGGGGCCTCTCAGACGCTGAGTTAAGACAGGACCACCTTTGAACCGCATTTGCTCTGGTTTTCAGCAGCGCAGAAGGTGCCAGTGGGGTCCCCCAGTCCAAAGGGCAGGCAGCACCCGCAAACACACCTCCTCTGCCAGCCTCCGCTGAGGTCTTTTTGCCTCCTCCTCCGTTGGAGCTGTCCCCGACTCCTCCCGGTAAGGAGCCCCCCGCCCCAATCCACCCTTCTGGGCTCTAGTCCCACGCTCCTCCGGAACCAAGGTGGAGAACCCAGAGGAGCCTACTTTAACCAGGCCTGTTTCAGACTTCTCATTTAAACTTAACCCTGATTAGGGCCTTACCCGTGTAAGTAAGCGACTTGCATAAAGGTATCCCAGCGAGTAAGAGGCAAAGTCTGACTACTCTGTTCCTATTGAATCCCTGAGCATCTTCTGAGCTTCTGGCCAGAGGCATTGTGGGAGGGTCCTGATGGGTGCATGCAGGAGATGACGTGAACTGGCTGGATCCTAAGTATGGTGCATTCTTTCTGTCCCCCTTCCCTTGCCCCCCCACAGTGGATCTGCCCCCTCCCCTGGATCTGCCCCCTCCCCCAGCCCTAGAGGGGGATGAAGTGGACCTGCTGCCTCCACCACCTCCAGGTTTTGGACCAGATGAGCCCAGCTGGGTCCCTGCCACATACTTGGAGAAAGGTACCTGAATGCTGGGACTGAAGCACCCCAGACCCCATTGCCAGGATTCTGGCCTGTTACCCTGACCCCAGTTGTTCTAACCCAGAGACATCCTCCTCTCCCTCTGCCAAGGTGTGACCCTACTTTGTCCCCTCAATCTTCATTTTCTGATGAACTGAATTCTGAACACTAGAAAGAGCTGGGGAGGGATCTTAAAGGCTTGGAAGCGGCCTTCTCCATAAAAACTCCCTAGAGCCCAGTGAGACCTTGTGTCCCTATGGGGGCGGGACAGAAGGCACACCTCATGGGCTCTCTCTCCTGCCCTACAGTGGTGACACTGTATCCATACACCCGTCAGAAGGACAACGAGCTCTCCTTCTCCGAAGGCACCATTATCTGTGTCACCCGACGCTACTCAGATGGCTGGTGTGAAGGTGTCAGCTCAGAGGGCACTGGATTCTTCCCAGGGAATTATGTGGAGCCCAGCTGCTGACAGCCCAGGGCTGCACCAACTCAGCACTGCCTCAGTGGGCCTCTTTAGCCCCAAGCCAAAGCCAGCTCCATAGTCAAGACTGGACTAAGCCTGTCTACCTCTTGGGCTGTGAGCTGTGTTCAGTGCCTTCCCCTCACTGCAATGGAAAGTGGGCCTAAAGAGAGAGGAGGTACGAAGAGGCCTGTTCCAGATGGGAAAAAACTTGGAAGCCAAGAAGTTTGGACACTTTGCCCACAGGGGACCCCCCCCCCAGTCATGCAGGGCAGAGTACCAGCTTTGAATAAAACTCCAATGACCCCATGATAGTTGCCCTGCAGGGCTAGAAGGCCAGAGAGGTTCCGATGGACAGACACCAAGTTCTAAAGCACCTAAGTCGAGCCCTGCAGACTGCCTCACAGGGCCGCTCCACCTGCTTAGTCTTCAACTGTTCCCTCTACTAGACCCCAGTCACCACAGGCAGCCATTGACTAATGCAGCCACTGACTGCATCTTAAGACTCTTTTGCCCCTTGCTTGTGTTCAGTATGGGTTCTTCAAGCCTCCTGTTTAAATGGGGCTCTCTGAGAGCAAAAAGCACTCTCAACCCTCCCACTGTGGCGCCAAGAGATTGGAGACACTGCCCCCCTTCACCTCCTTTATAGGTCTGAAATACCAGAGAGGGGAGGGGCTTAGGATTCCCTGGCTCTGCTTTAAAAACATGGCTTTCTGTTCCATAAGGGTGGAGGGGGTTTGCGGAGGATGACTTTGGTGAGATCCCTGGTCTCTTGCTGCAATAGATGAGGCTGGGGTGCAAGGAGACTCTCTGAGGTCCCTAGGTGGCTTTACCCAGGTGGACAGTGTGCTATCTTGTTCCACCACCAGGAGGCGACTGTTCCCCCTGGCTTTTTCTTCCTTTCGGGGGGTGGCTGGTGTGGGCAGAGGAAGGGAAGCAGGAAGGTGCAGCGAGTACTGCAGTAGTGTAGGGTTGCTGTGGCTGGAACAAGGCCTGGCTGCGTCATCTATCTGTGCCGGGGGAGTCTGGTGCTGACATGCGGCGATCCTGAGTCCCCTTGAGAGAAGACTGGGGCGGGGAGGTTACGCAGCCGAAGCAGAAGTTTATAGCAGTGAGAGATGTTCCTTCTGCCACCTGCCAGGAGCCCCTTCAGGTTTGGAGGCTACTGCTGCCTTCCAAGACGTGCGCACCATTCTGGGTTGGAGCATGGCAGTGGAAGCGGGGAAGCAGCCGAACTGTGTTAACTGCATAGATCGGGACGGCTCTGAACCCCGTTCCCAGCCCCCAAGCAGACAAAATGCGCGGAGGAGTGTAGCAAAGCAAAAGGGAAAAGGGAATCTAAAACTCAGCTTGCCTTTCCCAAGTCCCAGCCCCTGCCGTCTCCGCCGGTTGCCCCGGGCGCCCCCTGCAGGCGACGGTCAACACGTCTTCAGCACCTGTTGCAGATGGAGGCGCACATCCACTGCGGTTTCCCAGGGCACTACGTTGGCGCGGAACGAGCTGGGCTCGGCCTTCTGTGCCTCCTGGATGAGGCGGTGCATGGGGTAGCCGCGGCGTGGGAAGGCCACGTCCCCGCCCGCAAGCAGCCCCATGGGGCAGAAGTCATTTGCACCATCACCCACGTAGAAGAGGCGCTCGAAGTGCACGCCGTCACGGGAACGCTCACGCAGGTATTCGCTGAGCACCTTGTGCTTGCACATGTTGGCGGGGCAGCGCGAGCAGCTGTGAGTGTGAAAGGGCCGCAGCGTCAGCAGTCCCCGCGCATCGGGCCCCGATGGGTTGCTGAGGATGCGGCGGAACAGGCCATGGTGGCCTGCGGCACGCAGGGCACTCTCCACACCGAAGGTGTTGGCATCCGAAATGAGAATAACCTCGAAGCAGGAGCCCTGTTTGGCTATAAACTGCAGCAAGTCACCCATGCCCGGCGACAGGGGGATGGCCTCGTAGACTGCGCGCAGATCCCGCGGCCGCACGCCCTGCTCGCCCAGGTACTTGAAGACCCGTTGCATGTACTCATTATAGTAGCCCTCGCGGTAGGTGGCACGCAGGCTCTCAGGCAGTTGCTGGCCGGGTGCAGCGCGCACGATCGAGTCGTCGCTGTTTTCATCCACGATGGTCTCATCGAAGTCGAAGGTCAGAAGGAAGCGTGGCGCTCCGTGCGCAGCCATCCTGCTGTCCTGGGAGCAGGGGGAAGAGGAGCAGGAGGAGGGAGCAAGCGAGAGGCGGCGCGGCAGGAGCCGGCCGGGGAGAGGCTGGTTAGCAGGCCACAGCCAGGGGTGCTGGCACTTCCAAGACCTGAGGAGGACCCAAGGCTGGTTAAGGTGGAGGTGGAACCAATGTGTCGCTAACACCCTGCTGTCCCTTGACCATCTCAGTTAATCATGACACCCCGGGGACCATACCAGTCTTGAAACCAAGGATTTCCTTGGCTTCTGTTTCTGCTGCCCTTGCGGCTTAGCAAGGGTCGGTAAAAGAATGACTTTCCAGGGATCACCCCTTGGGAAGGTTCCTAAACTGGATTGGAGACTTCGGTGACCTGTGTGGTTGGTACAGACAAGAGTAAGGGGAAAACCCCTTCTCCCTTTGGTCCTTGTGGACCAAGGGCAAGTGCCAGGTCCTTCCTGGGCTTGGATGGCAGCTAAGGGCCAGGCCTGAGAGTCAGGGGCCTGGGCCTCTGGATTTTGGCCTTTGGAATTACCAGGTGGGTACATGAACCACACAAGACCCAGGGAGGCTCTTTGGGAGCTGCTTCCAGCCAGATGGCACTGGGCAGGGGACCAGAGATGGGACACAGAGCCTCCAGGAAGTTGTAGGGCCCTGTGCTGGCTGCTCATCACTCATCACTTGCCAATTCCCTGGGAAGAACGTGTCATCGGGTGGGATTTCTGCCAGAGTCCGAAGCAAGCAAGCAGCAGAAGCAGTGGGGCTTGGGGAGGTGGGAGCCTCCCTCACCAGGCCACAGCATACCTGGGAGACAGGCAAGGGAGAGGAAAGAGCAGCAGTGGCTGAAAAGGTAGAGGAAGGAAGGGGAAGGTAGCAGGGTGGTCTAAGACTAGGGCACTGGAGACAGACTACTGGAACAGGAAGATGGAGGGGAGCGGGGCTCTGGGTATTAAGACCTCGGGCCAGAGTCATATTGAGGAATGAGGATGCAAAGTAGGGACACCATGGGAGATAATGGGGCAATGGGGGAAGTATTAGGGCACAAAGGCAAGCACATGAAGACAAGCAGGAGCCCCTAGTGGCATGTCCCTGCCATCTGTGCTTGCAACAGCTGTGTGTATAAGGGCAGAGTGACAGATCTTGTAAACCCAAGAATATCCGTGGCACTACCTGTCTCTGCCAGACTCCCACCCCGATTCACCCATATGGAACCTGGTTTCTCCATCACCATCCCCTTTTGTGACAGGGTCTCATGTAGACCAGGTTGGCCTTGAAATTGCTTATAGTTAAGGGCGACCTTGAACTGATCCTCCTGCTTCCATCTTCCCAATGCTGGGATTAACTGGCATGTGCCACACATTGATGCAGTTCTGGCATTTGTACCCAGGACTTTGTGCTTGCTAGGCAAACCTACCAACTGAGCTATCCCCCAAGCCCTGATGGCTTGGCACAGCTTGTGAAACAATAGTCCAATCTCCTCCTTTTGGAATTGGGATTTGGACCTAAGAAAACTGTCCTTTTTACATGGTCCCTAGTCATCTTTGGGTTTTACCACCATCCTGTAGGGGAATCTCAGTGGCCTGAGAACCCTGGTGTTGAGGATGTAAGGCATCTGGACCCACACCAGAAGCTTTCAGGAAGCTTTCAGGGGTTAGTAGAATACCAGTAGAGGGGAGGACAAACCTGAAAGGGGCTGGATAGATCCCCTCTTACCCAAGGATAGAAAAGTCGGGGCTTGAGGCCTCATCCTGGAGGGACTCACTTACCCTAGACAGGCATCGTAGGCCAGTAACTGGAAAGCACGTGCTCATTGTCAGCACCTCAACCCTGAGCACCACCTCTAGAGACTTTGTTGGCCTCTAGCCGTCATCCAGAGCTCCTGAATAAAAACGTATAAGTCCACATAAGCAGTGTCTATCAACTGGCTTCCCCTCCACTATGCATGCCCCTCTGGCCCAATCTCTTCTATCAAGCCCGGGTGCCACTCCAAGGTCTCAGCAAAAGCAAGTTCTTAAATGGAGACCCAGACAGGCTACCTGACCTGCCCATAGGTCACTCACTGAAAGTGGCCAAGACATTTCAAAACCATATTTCAGAGGCTGAGTCCAAGGCTTCTTTCTCTAGTATGACCTTTGCCCTACCTTTGTAGGGCAAATCACAGTTTACCAATCATCTTTACTCCTGTTCTTACCACTCATCAGACCCAGGAAGGCAGACAATGGTTCAGAGGGATTAAATTACTTCTTAGAGTCTATGCTGACAGGGCAGAGCTTTGTTCATGATTGCTTAGGCACTGTCCAGAGGCTGAGATCCCCCTGATCTCTGGCACTTGTTCTGTTCTCACCAATAGGACAGGCCAGTTAGGCTGAAATCTCTGCTGGACTTTACTGTATGGCTTTGTGGACAAGGTCTGACCTTTTGGGGCCTTCATCAGTACAGTTACAAAGGACATGACCTACAGCCTCTGGTTCCTTCCTACCGAACCCTCCCTACCCCTCCATCCTGAGTTGAGAGCTCAGAGGCCAGCCACTCAAAATTGAAAGGTACTGAGAGCCTAGATAGACTAAGAACAAAGGTCTGGCTGGCTGCTGCCCTCTGGTGGTGACAATGGGTGACACTGTAAACCTCTGACTTTGTCAAGGTGATACTCCCCTGACCATCCCAGGGCAGTAAAGAAGCAACTGTCCCAGAACAGACTTAGAGACTGGGGTACCCCAGGAGGACACAGGCTCTGGGGCCCTGTCTAGAAAGCACCCTCAACTTCTCACTCCCTGATAGCAAAGCTTTCCAGTAAAGAAAGGAAGTATGTTTTAGTTTTTTCCCCAAGAACAGAGCTAGAGCAGTTGAGAGGGGGCTACAGGTTGAAGACAGTGGGAGAGAAGGGGAGGGGCCATGGGGGACAAAGAAATGACATGTGGAGGTAGGTGAGGGGGTCTGTCACTGAGAAATCTGGCTATCAAATGTTTGTTCCAAGACAAGAGTCAGGGAAGAAAGGTCAGGGGATGCCATGCCTATTGTAAACGCAATCTCCAAGGGACAGACAGACAGGCAGAGAAGCAAGGAACAGGTACAAAGGGGTCACCAGCAGCCACACAGATCAACTTTCTCTTTTTCCTTTCCTTTTCTTCCTTCCTTCTGTCCATACTCAGGATTGATCCCAGGGCTTTACAAGTATGAGACAAGCACTCTACCATAAGTCCCTATTCTCCTTTTCAAACTTTTTTTTGGTCTTTTTGAGGCAGGGTCTCTCTGTAGCCCCAGCTGACCTGGAACTTGCTATGTAGACCAAGCTGATTTTGAACTCACAGAGATCCATCTGCCTCTGTCTCCCAAATGCTGGAATTAAAGGCGTGGGTGCCACCACTCCTGGCTCAAACTTTTTTTTTTTTTTTAAATTGAGACAGGATCTCGGTAAATCACCCAGCCTAGCCTTGAACTCAGCATCTTCCTTGCCTCAGTCTCTTCAGTGCTGGGATTTCAGGCTTGCCACACCATGCCCAGCTTCAGATCAATTTTCATCTCTTAGGGGAAAAAAGTCTCAACTATTTGCCTTTCATTCTTTCAAATATTCCACTGATCTTTATTTATGCTCAAAACTTCTCATATCTTGGGTTTGGTGCCTTTAATCCTTTAATCCCAGAGCTCAGAAAGCAGAGGCAGGCAGATCTCTGAGTTCCAGGCCAGCCTGGTCTACAGAGCAAATTCCAGGTCAGCCAAGCACTGAGACCCTGTCTCAAAAGAGAAAACAAAACAAAAAAAGCCCTTTTCATATCTCACAGTAATAGACACACACACAATTACATTTTGACCTAATACCCGCATTTAGGGAAAGCTTGTTTTTTTTCATCTCCAGAGCAGAAAGCCAGGCGTTCTTGGTTTCTTCTTTGGACATCCCAGACCTTCCCCACAGCAGATGAGGTACCTATCCCTAATTAGAATTTGGCTCCATACCATTCCAAAAGATCAATCACAGCGGGTGGGCCTGACAACATGTGCCTGTAATACCAGCACCAGAGCTAGGAGGTAGGACAATCTGGAGTTCCAAGTCAGCATGAGCTTCATGGTAAGCTCCTGTCTCAAAACCAACACCACCAAAATCCCAAAGGTCATTCACCTGATAAAATTCCTGCTTTGGACCTTTGGTATCTTTGGTATCCCTCCTGATACCGGCAGGATCTCTGAGTTTCTCCAGGAGCTAGCACACGGGAAAAGAGGCTTCTTAGGGTGGAGGGGAGCCCCTTTCTAGTCCCACTTAAGACATGGGACTGTGGCTCTGATTCCACAGACCAGATTCCTGCCTGCTCCCTCCTGTCCTGGACACAATTGCCATAGCTTAAATCTGTAGGAGGGTAGAGGGTTCCTGGGGGCAGGGGAGACAGTTCCCTCTTGGAATAGGTGCTAAGCTTGAAATTCCTCCCCTAATGAGGGAATGAAACCTCTAGGGAAGTTTGGGGGGATAGTTTTCCACAAGAAACACACAGGATGAATGGGGTGAGGACTACGGGAATCACAGTAACAAGCTCTCTGCCCCAAGAACAAATCTCACATCTATCACTAGAAATCCAATCCAACAATTAAGTTGCATGTCTCTGGGGTCTCACTGCCTTGGGTGGACAAACTGGGTAGGGGCAGGGAGGTGGCAGCTGCTAGTTGGGGTAACAGAGATATTTTTAGAGGTAACTGGAAAGCAGGCACTCTGGCACACCCCCAGCTGGCGGGCGCTTCGCTGTAATGCGGGCGGGGGGGGGTGCGCAGCTCTGGGGAGAAGGGAGGACTTGTGGGTGGCGGGGAGCAAGGGGACACCGATTCCTTAGCTATGACAGAGTCCCCTGAGATGAAGGGACCCGGGGCACCACGAACCTGGGAAAGAAGGGGACTCGGTCCTCTGTCCCAAGGATTCCCCACCGCCTCGCGCGTGGAGAACCCTCAAACTCCACACGACCCCCACCCCAACATTGGGACCCCGGTCCTCCCCACCTCCCGGGAGCCCAGGACTCACGTGGGCTCAGCGGTGGCCGCGGTCTGTCCTGGCTGAGTTTAAAGTGTAAGGAGTGGGAAGGGGGCTAGCTAAGGGATTTGGGGGCAGGATAAAGCCAGGGGTGCTTACGGGAATTGGGGGGGGACGCGGTGTCTTATCCACCCCCGGATCTCTGAGCTCCGGCTCACGCGTCCCTCCAGTCCCGAGGGACCGTGGATGATGTGCGTCTGGGCCGTTCCCTCCACTTGCCCCCCATCCCCGGGGCCGCCGCCGCGTCCCCTTTAAATGCCGGGGAGCCGGAGCCGGAGCCGCGGCCGGTGCTGCGGCAGCCGCAGCACCCCGGCCCACCGCAGTCCCCTCGCGTCACAAGCGATCGTCCAATCACCGAGCCGACAGTGCATATCAAAGGGGCGGGGCCCCCCCCAGCCCC